TGACGTCAGCGGGGGCGTCGGTCTTTTCGTCCGGTAAAATCCTAGGCCCTCCTAGGGCGCCGGAGCCACTTCCGGAGCAAATGTCAAGCCTTGAGAGGACGGTTGGAGAGGCGTGCGCGGCGCTGGCGGCTCGGCGGCCTGGGGAGGACGAGGAGGCTTGGGAGGGCGGGTTCGCGGCTACAGCTCACGGCCCTCGGCCCCTCAGCCCAGGCGGCCACGCGCTACTAATGAGGATTCGCTGGCTTTTTTCCCGTTTCGCGCCGGCCGACCGAATTCTGTGCTCTCTGTTCCCTAGTAGTTCTACCTCCCGCAGAAGACTTAAGCCGTCAGGTGGGTAGGAGCGCACACAGCGGATTGTAGGAATAGAATATTTTCTTGGAGGCCATGGACAAATCCATGGTTGGGACTGATCTGTAGAGAGACTTCTGGGTGCAGAGGACATACGCTTACAAAGCTACGTTCTCCACCTCTTGCGCCGCCCCTCCACACACACCCTTAATGCTCCGGGCCGGGCTAAAAGTCCTCGATTCTGGCTTTTTCAACTAGAAATTGTAGCAACACCTGACGGATGTATTCATCTCTTAGCTTTGGAGACATATCTGAGCTCCAGGTCCCACTCCACCACCTAACACCTTGTACGCTCTTTAATTGTTACTGGGCTCTTGTTTCTTCATTGTTGTATTAAAAGGAATATATCAAGTTTTACTTGTTGCCAGGACGTTCTCTTTCAGTAGGAGTCACCGAAGTTAGAAGTTACTTGAAGTTCCCTTGTATTCACCTCAGAAAGAAAGTACCCCCAGGCCAGTGGTGTGTTGAAGGTGACTTGAACAGTCTCGTTAAAATTGTAAGTATTCGGCTAGCCAATCCTTAAACACTGCCATTATTAAAATTTAAATTATATAAACTTACAATTAAGTAATATTAAAAAAATGAAGGTATTGTAATGACGCTCCCCAGTTAGTCCCCAACAAGTGTCCTTCTGACCGGTATCTTGGAGCCAGTAGGAGACCGTGTTTGGTTCGAACGCAAAGGAAGTCAAAGAATGAAGAGGTGGGTGTTCAAGCTCTCGAGTATGGGCGTTTGGCTGGGGCTGCTTTATAGGGTTCTTGTCAGCAGGGAGGGGGCAGGTCCATGCAGGCACCCTCCCCCCACCACGACGTTTGCTGCTCAAGGCTTCAGAAAGCAGTGTGTGGGAGGTGTGGGTTCAGTACATCGCCCCAGCCATCTTGGATTGCAGGGGCCTGTGTAGCACTTCTGGACAGGGCCCCAGAGCTGAGGTGCCAGGCCCAGCCTTTTCACACTAGGAACTCTGGTCTGAAGGGCCTGGTGTAAGATCTCTGCATGCAACACCCTGTGCACAAGTGAAACTAGACTAAGCACAAAGAAAAAGAAAAAGGTTAAATTTTGTCTTATTACCCAGATTCTATTTTTATTTCCCGGGAATTGTTAATGGGCTTGGCTGGTGACAGTATTAGATACTAAAAACTGTAACTACCTAATTATTTTTACTACATTTTACTATTGTATGTGCTCTTGAGGTTATTTTTCTTTATCTCATTTGTATGGGGGGAATACTAGGCACACATCTTCCCAACATCGCATTTAGTCACATCACAGTGGTAGCTTAAAATTGACTGGGAGTATTCACTTAGATACTGCAAATGAGGGCCTTCCTTTCTTATACCTTATTAAATATTTACCAATATACCACAGCCTTAGTCCATCCCGGGGTGAAGTTTTAAGACTCTTAATGGTTACTAGAATAACGGGTTACTAGAATTGCTTACCCCCAGCACATCATTACACAGTATTTTCCCACCAACACAGCTGTGTAACTACTCACATAGTAAAGGTGGGACTGGAGGGATTATTATCAGGAGAGATTTATCAGAGATAAATAAACTTGGCTTTGGGCTTGGGTCTAAGTTCAGAGAGTCCCCTTCTACTTTTTTTGTGTGTGTGAGCAATTAGTATCAGATATTTTCCTTGATTACATGAACTTCTCCATCAGTTTGTCGGTAGGAAAGAATGCCCACCGTATTAACTGGGAGTAAGGGTATGGCATTCTGAGATAGAGGGAATTTGAGAGTTAAGGCGTGTAAGAGCGACTCAAACTGAAGATGATTCGGCATAAGGGGTGGCTGTTGATATTCTGTAATTTTAGGAGACTATCTCATGGCCCCCCTTCCCCCAACACACGTACCGTACCCTCTATCTCTAAGAGAAGTTGTCTCCTTTTCAATATAGTATTCCAGTTTCCTGAGGGCGTGGACAGTGCCAAATTGTCTTGTTAATTGTAGTACTTCTTTTAATAACTCACATACATTGCTTCAGTACTTGTTTAGCAGCAAGAGCCCGAAGTATTTTTTGTGTTTATTGTCTTTCCATGTGGTGTATGCAGATAGAGGCACATTATAAAACAAACCCATAAATCAAGATGACTTCTGTTAGTGAATAAGAAGATAGGTTATACAGATAACTTAAAATTGTATATATGTACAAATTACAATGTAGTTAGCGTCCATCAAAACCCATAAATAGACTCCAACCCTGCTAAGATTGTAAATGTACCAACAGCTCTTCTAGGTCAATTACACTCAGCATAACTTTCAAATTTGTCAGGTAGTGGCAGTGCATATGGATCAGTCACCCACACTCTGACCTGGCTTCCTCACCAGATATTTATCAGAGGTATTCATATTGACAACACATGAAATGTCTGGCCGAGTTTGGAGGGAAATGGGGCGGATGACCGTCTAGGAATCGGATTGGTAGTCTTGGAAATGGAAGTTTTTCTTGGATGTTTATGTGGCTTACGCAAAGAATAAATTTTCATCCTTGTTTTTGATAAAACTGTGCTTTAATGAAATAAGCCCACTGTGTGAAACTTGTGTTTTCACCATTCTCCTTTAATACTGTAAACAGCTTTATAGAGGTTTAATGGGGGCATATAATAAACTGCATGTATTTAAAGTGTACAAGTTGGTAAATTTTGCTACATGTAGACACCTATGAAAACATCACTACAATCAAGATAATGAGCCTGTCACCCACAGGTTTCCTCATACCTCCTACCCTCAAAGCAAACACTGGTCTGCTTTCTTTCTTTTTTTAAAAATAAATTTATTTATTTTATTTTATTTGTTTTTGGCTGTGTTGGGTCTTCGTTGCTGTGCGCGGGCTTTCTCTAGTTGCCGTGAGCGGGGGCTACTCTTCGTTGTGGTGTGCAGGCTTCTCATTGCGGTGGCCTCTCTTGTTGCAGACCACGGGCTCTAGGCGGGTGGGCTTCAGCAGTTGTGGCACGCGGGCTCCGTAGTTGTGTCTTGCGGGCTCTAGAGCACAGGCTCAGTAGTTGTGGCACATGGGCTTAGTTGCTTTGAGGCATGTGGGATCTTCCCAGACCAGGGCTCAAACCCGTGTCCTCTGCATTGGCAGGCAGATTCTTAACCACTGTGCCACCAGAGAAGTCCCTGGTCTGCTTTCCGTCACTTATAGTTTACAATTTCTCACGTTTTAAATAGAATCATATAGTATATACTCTTTTTTAACATCTTTATTGGAGTATGATTGCTTTACAATGTTGTGTTAGTGTCTGCTTTATGACAGAGTGAATCAGCTATAAATATACATATATCCCCATATCCCCTCCCTCTTGCATTTCCCTCCCACCCTCCATATCCCACCCTTCTAGGTGGGCACAAAGCGTGGAGCTGATCTCCCTGTGCTATGTGGCTGCTTCCCACTAGCTAGCTATTTTACATTTGGTAGTGTATGTATGTCCATGCTACTCTCTTACTTCGTCCCAGCTTACCCTTCCCCCTCCCCGTGTCCTCAAGTCCATTCTCTACATCTGCATCTTTATTCCTGTCCTGCCCCTAGGTTCTTCAGAACCATATATATATTTTTTAGATTCCATATATATGTGTTAGCATATGGTATTTGTTTTTCTCTTTCTGACTTACTGCACTCTGTATGACAGACTCTAGGTCCATCCACCTCACTACAAATAACTCAATTTCATTTCTTTTTATGGCTGAGTAATATTCCATTGTATATATGTGCTACATCTTCTTTATCCATTCATCTGTCAATGGACACTTAGGTTGCTTCCATGTCCTGGCTATTGTAAATAGTACTGCAGTGAACATTGTGGTACATGACTCTTTTTTTTTTTTTTTTGCAGTACCCAGGCCTCTCACTGTTGTGGCCTCTCCCGTTGCGGAGCACAGGCTCCAGATGCGCAGGCCCAGCGGCCATGGCTCACGGGCCCAGCCGCTCCACGGCATGTGGGATCTTCCCAGACCGGGGCATGAACCTGCGTCCCCTGCATCGGCACGCAGACTCTCAACCACTGTGCCACCAGGGAAGCCCCATGACTCTTTTTGAGTTATGGTTTTCTCAGGCTATGTGCCCAGTAGCGGGATTGCTGGGTCGTATGGTAGTTCTATTTTTAGTTTTTTAAGGAAACTCCATACTGTTCTCCATAGTGGCTGTATCAATTTACATTCCCACCAACAGTGCAAGAGGGTTCCCTTTTCTCCACACCCTCTCCAGCATTTCTTGTTTGTAGATTTTTAAAAAAATTTCTTTCTTTCTTTATTTTTGGCTGCATTAGGTCTTTGTTCCTGCACGTGGGCTTTCTTTAGCAGAGTCGAGCAGGGGCTACTCTTCGTTGTGGTGCGTGGGCTTCTCATTGTGGTGGCTTCTCTTGTTGCAGAGCACAGGCTCTAGGCATGCAGGCTTCAGTAGTTGCAGCATGTGGGCTCAGTAGTTGTGGCTCGTGGGCTCTAGAGTACAGGCTCCATAGTTGTGGCGTGCAGGCTTAGTTGCTCCATGGCTTGTGGGATCTTCCCGGACTAGGGCTCAACCCCATATCCCCTGCATTGGCAGGCGG